ATGTGGAGGAGTTTGATAATAGGCATTGTAATTCTCAAGTTCAGCACAATATGCGACCAGATGATTTTTCTCCCGATAAGTTAACTCGGAGCCATCGGTGTAGTAGGTTCAGTCTACCATCTTTCGCACATTCTTTGAAGAATGAAAATAAGCTATCTATGGAAATAAGCTGATATTTATTTGGAATAAAAAAATTAAATAAGTTAATAACTATGTTTGAGAAACTCACATAGCGGTAGAATTGGAAACGTATCAATAAGGACCCAAATGTCGAAATTTTTCACCTCGATGTCAGGATCACCAAGATCCATGGTGAGAAACATACCCACTTGAAAATCATACATCTTGCGAAGTGCTTCCCAACCCGGTCAACCAAAATGGGATACACTCTCAGAATTGTATAGATTTACCTCAAAATCCATACCATGATGGGTCCTTAGGTTAATTTTCTTTGTTTCATTCCTCTCATGATCTTCAAAATCCATCCTCTCCAAGACATATCGTCTTTCATGGCATGGGATAAGCTAGTAGCTTAATTACGAAAAACACACTTTGCGTCGTAGCTTACCATGTCACAATCAAAGGCCTCCTCGAGCTTAATGCTGAAGCGCCGACCTTCTACCAAGTGAGGCCTGTTGCAGAAACCCGGTTGTCGCCGCACCAGGAGCACTCCCCGGGACCTTCTTCGTCCGACGACATTTCCTATGTTCATAATTCAAAGATTAAACTTGTACAATTAAATATATGTACTACAAAAACTAAATTAGATCATTATTATTCATCACGGGTTGACTATCGGTTTGTCGAGTCTTTTGTTGAAAACTCTCATCTCACGTGGTGTATATATTCGACAGTCGGTCGGGATTCTACATCCTCTCATATATGGTGGAGACTCTCCCTCACTGATTCCTCTCTGACATTTGCGACCGTCGGTGATGGTCGTTACTCCTCCTTCCCCTAGTGCATAACAATGGTCTAGCACAAGGAGAAGAAGGAGAAACGACCCCCACGACAACAGTCGGGATTCTTCGGCCTCGACAGACATAAAGTCAACTTGAAATATCCTTTAATTATCTTTCTAGAAAATCCAGGCCACTCGATATTTCCTACACATTCTAGCACAAGTCATGCCAAAATTTACGAAAAATTCCGGTATGACCTTTGCTAAAAAAGGACATATCGAGCGCCAGAAATTTGTCGGAACGGAAATTAATCAACACTACAGCAAAACATAGGCCACTAAGAGGTGTAACCTGCAAACATGACCGGGCACTTGGGCAACCACATATCCTATTTGAGGAACACAAGGTATACATTTTTTATCTACATCTTATCTTATAGGACTGATATTGACATGGAGATTTGGTTGGTCTCACCTCGAGGTCGGAGGGGGTCAGTGACGGGGACGATGGCGGGGATGGTGGAGGGGCTCCTAGATTCCTGCAAAAACAAAAACCCTATAAGTTATCACTAATACATCCCGATTAGTATCATACATATAACATCACTAATACAACTAAAACCCTAGCGAACGACGGGTATCGACGACGAGGATGCGGGATAGGCATCGTCGACGTCGATGCGGGAATAATTGCTTAAACTAGAAAAATAACAACAAATATGACATGTTCAACTAGTTCTATTAATTCAACTAGTTCTTACTAAAAATAAACTTACTATAAATAAAAGTAAACTAGTTATTTCTAAAAATAAGCTAGTTCAACTAGTTATATTAATTTTCTTACTAAAAATATATTAGGTCTATTAATTAAACTAGTTCTTACAAAAATAAACTAGTTCAACTAGTTTTATTAATTTACTTACCAACTATTTTAAGCACTTACTAAAAACAGTAAAAACACAACATTATACAATATTAAAAAAACTAGAGTAAAAAACAGGAAAAAAAAGAGATGGAGGGAGGAGGGGAAGGGAGGAGGAAGGAGAGAGGAGGAGTGGGAGGAGGCCGGTGGGATCAGGGGAGGGAGGGGGCGGGGGAGGAGGGGGAGGGGGCGGCCGGAGGAGGAGGAGGTAGGGGGCGGCCAGAGGAGGAGGAGGGAAGGGCGGTGGCAGGAGGGCGGCCGGAGGAGGAAGGAGGAGAGGAGGGACAGAGGGAGTACCTCGGTGGAGGAGCAGCGCGGCAGCGGCGGACGACGGGTTCGGCGCGGGCGAGAGATTAGTGAGAGGGTCGGGCGCGTGGTGAGGTTAAGGTAAGTAAGTAGTAGCGCGTTTCCGAGATACGCGCTACTGCTATGGAACGTAGCAGTAGCGCTGGCTGCATATACGCGCTACTGCTAAGTGGGGCTAGCCATCTGTGCCCAGTACAAACATAGCAGCAACGTATTTTCCTAGCACGCGCTACTGCTAAAGTAGTAGCAATAGCGCGGTTAATTTTAAAATGCTACTACTAAGTAGCAGTAGCACCTGTTTCAGCGCTGCTGCTAAGATGATGTGTATAAGGTTTTCCCTAGTAGTGTATATTCCTTCCCATCACATCACTCCACTTCACTTCCCTCCACTCCCCTTCGCCACCCAAGCTCCCGTCCGCCGGAACCCGTCGTGGTGGATGTCGCCGGTTCGTTCCAGGACGGATCCATCATCGATCTGACATCCACCGACACCGTCTGGAAAATGGGCTCCGACGAGAAAGAGTAGGGCATGGGAGATGTGGCGCCTTGAGTCCCGCTAGCCGGCTCTTGTCCCATGTTCTACTCTACCTTGCCGGCGACCGGACCAACACTCTGGGAGCACAGCCGGCCGCCGGGCATGGGCACGGCAGAGCATGACGAGCTCCGCTTAAAGATCGGTTTACGTTGCATGATATGGATTTGAGATTTTTAATTTGAGGTATCCGGTTGAAGAATCAAATATTTGAGGCGTGGCCGGTCAATGTCCGTGGACGCGCCTAGACGTGTCCGCGGCAGTTTGATTGTTCGGATTTACCAAGTCTTGCTTAGATTCTCTTATCAGGACAATGATATTCTCAGTCCAACAGAGTTCAAGTCCTAAACTTAATCGGTGCTCGCATGTTTTTATTAGACGCCTTTGATCCCGCACGTCACACCTACGTACCTAGTTGCCCTCGTGTCAGTCCCTGGAGCCGTACCTGCGGTAAGCAAGTTGTCCACGACACATGCAGCGTGCGAACTTGGTCGGTCGTCTCGTCCGGTCGATTCGCAAGTACGGATGATATCTTGTGTTTCAAAAGAAAATCCATCGCTGCATGCATGCATCGAATCGAACAAGACAAAGCGAAAATAATAATCAAGGTGCGCGCGTGCGAGAACGGACGCCAGATTAAGCGGCGGTCCTGTTATTGCCTGTTGTACAAACATATTTTCCGGATAACTATGTATGTTATGTGATGGAGTATTGCACAACCTCTACTATTTGTTTGGTTTTTTATAGGGCATGAAAAACATTTTACATTTTGTTACGGAAGGTGTGCAGCACATATGCCATGAGTACTCTCTCTCTCTTCGGTTTTACATGGCTTATCTCAGAAAATATTTTTCCATTTTATAAGTGTTAATTTTATAGTTTCCCATCAAATGTTCAGACTTTGAGGTGCATTAAATGGTTGCATGCAAGATTAAAAAGAAAACTCATAAATGCATGTAAAAGTTCTTGGTCATTTGTTGGTTATGCATGCATGTATTGCAATTAATGCATTGGTAAACATAATTTTTGAAAAAAACAATTGCATTAATTGAGTATTTTGGCAAACTATAAAAATTACTCTATCATACCATCTACTTTGGTTGGTAAAATTTCTCAATTGAGCCCTATAAACTAGAAGGGAGGGAGTAAAATTTTATTTGCTAGATTAATTTCAACGCATGTCTGTCTTCAACCCTGATATCCATCATAGGGGAACCAAGGTATGTAGTACTACCAATAATAATCTAGATAATGAAAAAAATGTCCAATGTCCAGATAATGACAAAAAGTCATGTCAAGTTATTTTCCTTAGCTGAATGGGATCAGGTTAGATAAGGTAGGGAGGAAGTGAGCAAAGTCACGAGCGACCAATCAGTGAAAATACATAATATTAAAGAATTTTTTTGCTAAAGCACACCTAAATGTGACATAAGTATTGCACATCTAAGTCCTATGTCATCGATCTCACACGGATATTCGTGTGAGTATTTCTTTTTCTTTTTCTTTTTATATTTGATTAAGTAAATTAGATGTGCAATAACTAGGGCACATCTAAATGTGCCCTAGGCATACCCAAAAGAATTACCACAACAAGTTATGCACCAACACGTGTTGTACTAGCTCCATTTTATTTTACCTATTCTCTCTCTTCCTTTGCTTTTTTACCTAGCTGCCTACTCTCTTATTTGCATTGTTTGAAGAAGAGAAGACCCTTACTACTTGCATGACAAGAAATTACCACTATGCAAAAATAATTTAAACCTCGCTGAGCTCCTCCCCCTTGAATTCGTACACGTCGCTCTTCCTGACGGCCACAAAGAGCGGCTCCTTCTTCCTGGTGGCCAGCCCGAAGGTCTCCTCCACGCTCACGTCCTCGGCGCGCACGCCGGCGGGCAGCGCCCACTCGAAGTGGTACAGCAGGCTGGCCAGCGACACCTGCACGGTGGCCAGCGCGAACGTGTAGCCTGGACACCCCCTCCGCCCGCCGCCAAACGGCAGCAACTTGTAGTCCGGGTCCTTGAGGTCGATCTCGCCGCCGGCGCCGGCAACCTCGAACCGCTCCGGCGAGTACTCCAGCGGGTCCTCCCAGATCTCCGGGTCCCGGCCCATGGCGAACGTGTTGATGTAGACGCGGGTCTTGGCACCCGGCCCTTGGCGCCCACCACCCGCCGGACCTCCTCCTGCGCCTTTTGAAGGATGCGTGGGTGGCGAACCAGCTCCGTCATCACCCAGTCCAGCGTCGCGAACGTCGTGTCTGTGCCGGCGACGAACATGTCCTGGAAGGAAACCACAGCGTATATGGTGAACATTGGTGAGCAGATCTTCCCGACGATGGGTTGTCAAGATTCCAAAACGAAATAATTATTTAGTGCAAGTCTCGGCCCATCCTTGTCCTACGTAGTAGTAGTATGTTTTTCGCCTGGTGATCGAGAGAGTGAGTGGCGTACCAGGATGAGGGCTTTGAGATTGTCGTCGGTGAGCGGGACCTCGAGGTCGGGCGACTTCTGGACGCGGAGGAGCACGTCCACAAAGTCCTCGTCGCGGTCGCCGGGGAGGCGCTGGTGCTTGCCGCTCACGTGCTCCTCGACGATGTCGTCGCAGACCTGGCGGAGGTCGGCGGAGCAGCTCTTCAGCCGGCGGCGGAGCCCGGTGATGGTGCTCGCAAAGGGCTCGAGCTGAGGGAAGAAGTCCCCGACGTTGAACCCGGCGAAGAGGTCATGGGCCTCGGTGAGTACCGCGGCGAGCTTGTCATCCTTGCCATGCGGGAAGCGGCGGCCGAAGGCCACACGGCAGAGCACGTCGTTGGCGAGGTTCAGGAAGCAGTCGCTGAGGTCGACGGGTGTCCCCGGCGAGGTGTTCTTGGTGAGGTGCGCGAGTAGGCGGCGGAGCTCCTTGCCCCGGACGCTGCCGTAGGTGGCGACGCGGCGCGCCGAGAGGAGCTCGGAGACGACCACCCGCCGCACCATCCGGTGGTACGGCCCCGCTGGGGCTAACGTGACCTCGGAGCACCCGAACGCAAGGAACTGGCCTGAGAGAAGGTGCGGGCGGGACGCCATGGCCGCGTCGTTGCTGGTGAGCGCCGCGCGGGCCAGGTCGGACTTGGAGATCACCACGGCCTGGACGCTCCCAAGCCGGAGCCGGAGTAGCGGGGCGCGCATGGTCCTGGCCAGCTCCGCAAGCGCGTGGTGCGGCATGTCCGTCAGCAGGTGGAGGTGGCCGATCACGGGCCACCCGGGCGGCGACGGCGGGAGCCGCGGCCTCGGCGACCGGCTCCGCGTCGTGTGGTAGACGTACGCGCCGGAGAGGACGAACAGGGCGATGGACACGTACGAGACAAGGTTGAGCTCCATCTCCATGATGTGTGGACCTGTGCTTGGCTTTCTCTGCTGCTAAGTCGAGAGCTTGGGATATGGAATATGGTTATGTGTGTAGTGCTTTTTATAGTGCCATTAGTGTGATCTAACCAACAAAAGGCATCTAACCATGTGAAAGAGGTATTAGCAGTATATTAGTCGTCAACCTGTGCACATGCACGGGCAAGCTATTTGAGAACACGTAAACATCTATAATTATAACATTTCTTGTGTTTTCATTTGAATATGACAAACATGCAACAAAAATAATTCTACATGTAAATATCTCTCAGGATACCATTAAATCTCATGGCTTTGTTAGTTTCCTTCTCATATTAAAACAATCATCTGACAAACCATCATGCATCTGAATAAATTAATAGTAAGAACGATGATGATAATAAAAAGAAGAAAAATTTCATTATGAAGGGAACCCATAGTATGCAAAATTTTCAGAAATAACATGTGGATATAATCGTAAGTATAGAAATTTAATTAGGACTTTTGGGATAAATTTTGCACTCTATAGTATCAGGATTGTATATAAGAGAATACTAACAGATCACTATGTTATGCTTTCCTATTACATCCATCAAGGAATCAACTTGTTGGCTTGATAACTATAGTATCAAATGCACCGCCGATTAATAAATTCAATGTTTCATCCCAAAGTATGATATCCATATTTAGCTACATAACTGTATAAACGATTATGAGTTCAACCTCAAAATACAGAGATGAAACTGGAATAATAATTATGCAAAATATTTCACATCATTAAGTAAATGTCATTGCCGTTGGGTCGCCATGCCACTTATGTGATAATCATAAATATTTTTACTGATTACATGTGAGATACATATTAGACAAAAAACTGAAAATGCATGAACCAATTTCAACAAATCAGTATATGGTAGAAATACGATTCAAGTATCTGGACCTGTAGACAATGAAAATAGAGACTTGTTGGTCAATTTCTAAGCTGCATGCCACAACCAAGTCAAATTTTGGGGACCAACAAACTTGATATTTAAAAAATGATATCATTAAAAGTCAAAGATAATCACATAAAAATAGCCACAGGAAATTAAAATTGAGATGAAGAGAAGTGGAAGGTTATTGGTTAGTAGTGTGTATGCGTACATTCATGGGTCAGTAGCAAAAAAGTTCCAGCTTATAAAGAAACTTTTCTTTATTCTACTTCTCAAAACTTCAAGCATTGAAAGTTTTTTCATAAAAATGAAACTGGGGGCTAAACCACACTACCAAATAACATTCAAACGGCACAAGCGTTGTCCCAGTCTCCTAGATGTACCTACATGCATGTTTTCCAATCTCCAACGTTGTGTTGCGGATGTATGCATTCATGGGTCAATATTAAAAAAGTTCAAGCTTCTAAAGCAACTTTTCTTTTTCTACTTCTTAAAACATAAAGGATCTAAAGCTGTTTTATGAATGTAAATTAATGTTTTTCTGGCATACAACTTATATTTTGCTAATCAAATCTATAATCAAAGTTTGATCCAAAATAGGAGGGGCAACCTGGAGGAGATAACAGAGTACATATGTACAGCCAATCAGTACATTAACGAAGCTGGTATGCCTGCATTAGCAAGTCAAGTCATTACTGCTTAATTATACGGATTATCTCAGCACCTTTGTCACCAAAAAAGTTTGATAAAATTTATTAACATGCATTGGTGATGCATATAGGCACAGTAAACGACATAGGTCTTCTTCCATCGATAGTTACCTAGAAACCAAGTCAGACCCAAGCGAGGAAGCCAGAATATTTGTACGGCTCCGGTTCAACGCGAGCACATAACTAATTAATTTTTTGTTGACATGTAACTATTTTATATTTTAGTTTAACACCTGTGCAGGTGGTCGGTTGAGTAATTCCCACAGGTGGGCGGGATGTTCTATAGCGTGGAAGTGACGGAGGAGGAACGGGATGATCGCCTAGAGAAATAACGATACGACATCGACGACTTGTACTTGTTGATTGCTGACATTCGTCGCCAGCTAGAGTACTTTCGAATTTGTCAAACTCTTAATCGTGTCAGCAAACATGCACGCCATGCACTTCTTCATTAATTTCGAGTTTGTCAAACTCTTAATCGTGTCATCAAGCATGAGCTCATCGGTACTAAAATGCAGATTGGGACATCAATTAAAGACGAAAGAGAAGGGAGTTGTCTGTTAGTGGAGATACCGGTCACATAGCGTTTTTCTACACTGTGTAATTAATGCTCTGATCCGGTGTGGCTTCTTTCTCTATGTTTCTCTCATTCTTTTCTGTCTACAACTAGGCCACAATATTAAGATGCACATGTAATCCCTAAACCTAAATGATGGATCTGTTTAAATGTGTACAGAACACGCAAATTTTCTTTTTTACAAAAGTTAGCAATGGCGTGAGGGTAAAGATTATTAATAGCACTCAAATAATAGTAGTGCTGACTAGATACCCATGCTGCAGAAGTATCAGTAGCGCTGGAGGGAACAACGCTACTGCTAGCTTCTGTTACCAGCAGCGCTGGGGCAAACAAGTGCTAGTGCTAAAAAATAGTTGTAGCGCCGTAGCAGTAGCGCGTCTACCAGTGCTACTAATAGCAAAAAAAATAGCGCTTCTGGTAAGTGTTTTCCTAGTAGTGTATGTTCTCTCCCTCAATTGTCTCTACAACTAAGCCACAAGATTGAAATGCACATGTGATCCTTAAACCCAATTGAATGCAACACGACTTTGAAAGGACACCTAAGAGACAATCCAAGATACTTACTACAAATATGATGGATGTATGCAGCAGTGCAGTGCCGTGAACGATGGACGACGGTCCAATCAAACCGTTCATTGGGTTGGACTCGACTGATTAAAACAAAAACGCTCCTTCTAGATGCATTCAACCACTAGCTAGACCAAGTCACCACTTTAACTAATTAGTCCATCTTGATTAATGTATTGCGCACATATGTGCCACGTGCATGCATGCTCCTGTTTAGTAGTCTCTTAGCACGAGTTCATAGGTAATTAAAATGCTGACATGGTAGATCAATTAAAAATGAAAGACAAGGGAGTTGTATGTTAGTGGAGTTACGGCTTTTAGCGCATTTCTCTACACAATATAATTAATGCTCTCGTCCGGTGTGACTTCTTTCTCTATGTTTCTATCCTTCTCTTCTCTCAACAACTAGGCCACAATATTGATATGCACGTGTGATCCCTAAACCAATTGAATGCAACATCATTAGAAACACCACATAACATACAATCGAGGATACTTACTCCCTCCGTCCGGGTTTATTAGGCCTAAAGACAACTTCTCTTAGACCAAGACACATAGTAATTTGCTCGCATTAATTCTTCCATTCCACTCCCAATGCACTCTCTCACATGCATGCAGCCAATGAAAAAGCACACATGAAGTGTATTAACTTTTCAGCCATGGCACCAACAACAATAGCTTTCAATACAACCAATGAAATGGTTGCATGCATGCATCTTTCCAACGCGGGGCCTTATAAAAGGGGACATGCTTGTGATGCTGAGAGGCCTAATAAACCCGGACGGAGGGAGTACTACAAATATGATAGATGTATGCCGTAGTGCAGTGTAGTGAACGGTCGAAGATGGTCCATTAAAACCGTTCGTTCAGTTGGACTTGACTGGTCAAAATAAAAACATCTCTTCTAGATCCATGCAACTACTAGCTAGTACGAGTCACAACTTTAATTAATTAGTCCATCTTGACTAATCATTTACGCAGACATGCAACAGATGCATGTATACTCTTGTATAGTAGTCTCTTGGCACGAGTTCATAGGTAATTAAAATGCTGATGTGGCACATCACTTAAAGCAGATAGAGAAGGGAGTTGTATGTTAGTGGAGATACGGCTCTTAGCTGATTTCTCTACACAGTGTAATTAATGAACCGATCTGGTGTGGCTTCTTCCTCTATGTTTCACTCCTTCTCTTCTCTCTACAACTAGGCCACAATATTGAGATGCACATGTGATCCCTAAACTAATTGAATGCAACATCACTTAGAAACAACACCTAAAAGCAATACAAGATACATACTACAAAACTGATGGATGTGAGCAGTAGTGCAGTGTGGTTAATATTCGATGATGGTATGCATGGGCGGATCCAGCCCAGCCCAGTGCCCCGGGCCTCCTTTGTATACTGTAGCAGTTGCTACAGTATTTTCGCTACAGC